CGAAGTTATTTTCTATTGAAAGTCCTTCAATTCAGAGCGTTGACATAAACAGAATGAGTTTGAGATGATGCTCACTCCGTTTGTATACCTAAGGCAGCGGTCCAAAGAGCCTTCAAATCATGTTTCCTGCGCTTATACTTTCTAACAAAACCACCACTGAATGGCCGGTCAGCATTTCAGTAGCATTAGTGTGGTTGTACTTGTTGAAGACTGACCGGCAGCACAATACTCATCAGAGGAAACTGTCGATAAACGAAGCTCATTATAAAATCAGATCATGCATTGAGCATCTTTGCTTATCCTTTAATTTGCTAACATCGATTAGGAAATAGGCATTTCCATGCTTGTAAACTTTTTATATATGATGTGTGCAAACAATACGTTGCAAAGAAGTGCGCTCGATGGCAGCTTCAGAGACCAATCTGCGGGCTGAGCCAACTGGCCTGGCTTTCAGTTTCTTTTTGCACGTATCTGCTTTCTTCTTCTCGTGGGGTTGCAGAAGCACTCATCTCAAATCCTGACCTATTGTGCTGGCGGATAGCCTGGGTAGTACCAAAAGAACCACCTGCAGAGCGCGGGTCATGCTTAAGATGGTAGGACAAGAAGTACAGTACACTTTTCACCAGGGCGGAGCTTCGAAAATGGTCGGATTTGCCGGTGCCGACGACAAAAATTCCAATTCACTTACAGAACGGCCTAAAGACCGTAAAAAACTTGTTAAGGTGTGCGCTGAGTTGATAAGTTCAATTTTCGAGTTCTACCTGCGGTGAGAGAAACGTCCTCCAAATAGGCGGTCCTTAATAAAAATTTGTGACTTGGTTTGGAGAAAGTCTATGGAGCAGAAAAATTGATTTGGGAAGCAATATCTCACTGATTGCAGCACACCAACACTGAGAAGGCCAGCCCACAATGGGCGGAGCGTTCCTACGTGCTTATCACAAGTTTTCATAAGCAGATTTCAAGAAGACCAGGAGACAGGAAAAAAGAGGGTAGGGGTTGGTGGGAGAAGGAGTGACTTGCTATCGGTGGATGGAGCGTGCGCTGAGGCAGGCGGAGCTCTGAACGAAACATCCTGACTCGGTTCAAAGGAGCCCGTGAAAAAAGTGGATACAGCTTAGAGAAGGAGGTGAATTTTAGTGATAGGGCGATGAGTAACCACGTGGGCGGAGTCTGCCACCGAACTTATAATTTGCTATTGGTGTATGGGGAGTGCACTGAAATGGGCGGAGTTTGTCACAAAGCCTTGATCGGTTCCGAGAGATGCCAGAGACCGGGCGGAAAGTTGACAGAGTGGCGAAGGAATAGAGGCAAATGCTTTCGGGTGAGGGGCGTTTGTTAGGAACCATGATGAATATGTACATGAAATTTATTTTTTGTGAATTCAATAAAGTTTGCATTTTTGATGATTGAGAGAAGATTAATTGTTATATTATTATGTTATATTATTATGTGGGGTCAGACAAAGAGTAGTCTAGTTTCCTTTTCGCACGTGCCCTTAGATGGAAACTACAGGGTGGTCCAAAATTATGAGGACCGCGTGCGCGCGCGGTCATATCCACTTTTTTCCGAGTCGCTCCATTTTCATTTCCTTTTCTGTGCACTATGTGAGAGGGTACAGTGTATTCTTCCTTTTGAAACTAAACTTCATGCAGTTCTCAAAACTAGTGAAAGAGCAACACCTTATGTCATGAACTCACTAAAGGGCTCTGGCACGTTACATCT